GACGCGCACAAGCAGAATGCAGGACGTTATCCAGAGAAGCAGCGATGCCAGAGACAGAGTCATGGAGTCAAGGAGATGGGGTCATGGAGAGGGGGAGCAGCTGTGGACTGTAGATTCATGGGAAGAGAGGGACTAAGAGCTGGTGGCCAGGAGGCAGACTTGCAGAATGTGCCCTTTGGAAGTATAAATTATTATATATGCCTGAGTGGTTTTTTGTTGTTGTTGTTTTGTTTTTATAAATAACTAAAGTGAATAGAGAGAAATACTGTTAACTGATGGTACGTGGAGGGGATTATAATCATTGTACTGAAACAAGGTGTATGATTTGTTGAATGTAAAACTAATGATCTGCCCTGAAATCTTCCACTCAATCCACAATTAAAACCTTAAAAAAAAAAAAAAAAAGGAACACAGAGACATCAAAAATAAAATAAAAAAAGAGGAAAAGCAGAAAGATTTAGTAAACATAAAAAAAAAATGGAATTAAAATAGAGCTTTTCCATGAACTTTTTGAACCTCCCTCGTATGAGTGTTATCTTTTGAAGAAAAGTGTTGTTTAAAATTTAACTATGTACCACCAGTGCTACTTATTTTTAAATTTTTAAAATAAATTTTTAACCTAAGGTTTTGTAGTCCGTGCTTTGTGTGGCACTGTAGGATGCACTGGATTGCTAACCACAGAGCTGGCGGTTCAAACCCACCAGCCATTCCTTGGAAACCCTATATAGGTTCACCATGAGTCAGAACTGACTGGATGGCATTTAACAACTTAACATTGTACTTGTAAGGATCCCTGGTAGTGCAGTGGCTAAAGTGCTTAGCTGTGAACCAAAAGTCAGTGGTTTGAAGCTACCAGCCGCTCTGCCTGAGAAAGAACCCACCAGTCGCAGTCTGCTTCTGTAAAGGTTTACAGCCTTGGTGTCCCTGTGGGCCACTTCTACTCTGTGCTATAGAGCCACTATGAGTCCGAAAATTGATCAATGGCACACAACATTGAAGGCTTGAATGCTTATATAATATTGCTTTCAAGTAATGACCTTCTATTACACCATTATCTAATAGGATTGTCTGTGATGATGGTCATGTTCTACAACTGTGCTGTTTAATGAGCACCTCAGATGTGGTAACCGAGGAAGTGAATTTCTTATTTAATTTTACTTTAAATAGTCACTTATGGCTGGCAGCTATCATAATGGACAGCACAGAGCCTTCAAATGCTTTCAAACAACATAATCATCAACAGATAAGTGCTTCTCAAACCAAGCCAAGCTATGTAGTGCCTACCTTAAAGATTTTTTACAGCTGAGGCAGCAGTAAAGACATCAAATGACATATTGCACTGGGCAAATCTTGTTGCTAAAGGCCTCTTTGTTAAAGAGTGAAGATGTCAGTTTCAGGACTATGGTGTGCCTAATGCAAGCCATGGTATTTTTAGTAGTCTTAATATATTTAGTTGGACAGTGAATATAACTGAAGAAGAATCAATACATTTGAATAATAATGTTGATGAAGACTATTGAAAGTACTGTACACTGCCAGAAGAATAAACAAATCTATCTAGGAAGAAGTACAGATAGAAAATTCCTTAGAAGCAAGGATGCTGAAACTTCATCTCTTGTACTTTGTACATGTTCTCAGGAGGGACCAGTCCTAGAGAAGGACATCATGCTTGGTAAACCTGATGGTCAACAAAAAACAGGAAACCCCCCAATATGATGGATTGATACAGTAGAAGTAACAATGGGCTCAAACAACAATTGTGAGGATGGCGCATAATGAGTAGTGTTTCATTCTATTGTGTGCATAGGGTCGCTATGAACCCGAACTGACTCAACACCACCTAATCCCGAAAGTTTCATTTCATACCTCTCCCTCTTGCTCTGTTTTTCAGCCACACTTGTCTTTCGTGTTTTGAAAATACACCAAACTCATTTATGCTTCAGGGACTTCAGCATCTCATGTTTACTCTGATTGTACTACATTTTCCTGATCTCATATGGCTGGTTCCCAATCACCTTATTTAAAGTGTTCCCTACTGCCAGATGATCACATTATCCTCATTTACTCTATTTATAGCATTTAATCATCTAAAATTATCTTATTTGTTTACTTCATTCCACTGTCACTTGAATATTAATTCTGTGAAAGTAGAGCCCTCCTCTGTCTTGTTCAACAGGACCAGTAATACGTGGCATGTAGAAAACAAGCCTAGAGGCTAAGTGACTTAACCCAAGGCAGCACAGCTAGTTAGGGGAAATGAACAAGCCAGAAATAACAGTCACAAAAGAAACTTAAAATGGCAAAAAAAAAAAACCCACTTTGACATGAAGAAGAAAAAAATTCCTGATAGATGAATCATATTTATGTTGCATACCACATTCAGGGAGGAGCTCTGGTAGTGTAGTGGTTTTGAGTCGGGCTGCTAACCTCAAGGTCAGTGGTTCCGAGGGAGAAAGATGAGGCTTTCTGCTCCCGTAAAGATTTACAGCTTCAAAAACTCTGTGCAGGGTCGCTATGAGTCGGAACTGACTCCACGGCACATAACCATTACCACCAGCACATTCATGGGCAGCGCAGCTGGTTCACCTGCAAAGTGGATACACAAGCCTTCAGTCCAAAAGTAAAGTCAGCATTGTAAATGGTATTTGCCTCTGCCACTTACCTTTCCTTAACTTTACAGTGCACAAAGGTGCCGAATCTATGAAGGAAGAAGTTAATCATGATGAAATGTCTGTAAAATAAAAATGGAAATGGTTAAAATGTTCTATATAAAAAACCAACCAAGAAATAAAATAAGCTCAATAGATTTGTTCAGAATGATTTTTTTCATAGTAACTAATTCTGATTAAAAATGTTAGTGTGTTGTTTTCTGAGAAGTCATCAAGTCCCTTTAGGACAAACCCCCTTCCAAGACTGAAATACAAAGGGAACATATGAGCAGGCATGTAAGCTTGCTGGTGACCATGTTGGTCTACTGGTGAGTGGAAGAGGGGGAAAGGTATCAATGAAGATATGGGCTGAGTTCACCCACGTTCCATAGACTTCCATTGAACTGGAGATGAGAGAGAGAAGAAGAAAGACTGGTTGCTCTGAAGTGTGGTGAGACATCAGGACTCCTGAGGCCATGGACAAGGGCATAGCCATGGAGGGCTAGAGCTCAGAGTAAAGCACAAGAACGCCCAAACTTGCAGATAGTACCCATTTGACCTAGCTTTCATGGCTTGATGATCAGAACTCGACTAGAGGAAGATTAAAACTTTTTTTTTTTTTGATAAAAGGAAATAAGTGTAAATTGCTACAGTTTTATGAACTTGACTTATACTTACGGATGTAGTAGTTCAAAATTCACATCAAGTATCAATCCTGTCCCCTCTGTATACAGTGTTGATAGGCACGAGCAACTTAGACATTGGCTACCTAAAATGAGAGAGTGAAAAAGGCACGAAGTGACTGGCTTACAAGTTTTTAAGAAGGAGTTTAAGAGTGAGTGGGGGGGAAGGTAAAGTCCCCACTGAATAGTTTTCATCTTGTCTAGTTAGGGCTGGTGAAAAGATATGGGATAAGATTCTTATGATTCAATAGTGAGTAACTGTTACCATCACTAATTGCTACTGTCACAACTGTAAAGGTAGAAGTTCTGTAACAAAAAAGGGGGAGTAGTTAATCTCACAGTCTAGGCACAGAGGACTCTAGGGAAAAGAGCATGAGTGGAATGTGGGACCCTATTCAGAGAAGCAGCAACACCAGAGATGGCAGCAGATTTGAGGACGTGGAGAGCTAGAGCAACTGAGGACTCTACACTCAATGGAAAGAGAAAGACTGCTGGTGGCCAGGAGGCAGGCTTACAGAATGTGCCCTTTGGTTGTTTAAATTATTATCTATTCCTGAGTGTTTTAGTGTATATCCCCCACAAAACAACAACAACAGAGAGAATGGAAGCAAATAATGTTGAATGATGATGCACAGAGGAGATTGTAATCACTGTAATTAAACGATGGTGTAAGAACAATGTTCTCCCATGTAAACTAGCACTCAATTCACAATAATAACTTACAGTCCTACTGGCGCAATGGTTAAGTTCTTGGGTGCTAATTGAAGACCTGCGGATCTACTCCCATCTCCCATTTTCAGCCTAGGAAATCTCATGGGGCAGCTCTACTCTATCCTGTATGGTAGCTATGAATCCAGTAGGCGGTAGGAGGTATCCAACATGGCTAACCAAAAGTTTGGTGGTGGTTGTTAAGTGCTGTGGAGTCAGTTCCGACCCTTAGCGACCCTGTATAGGGTTTCCGAATAGCAGCTGGTGAGCTTGAACCGCCGACCTTGCAGTTCAGACAGCTTTGTAGAGTTCACCTATTTGGGGGTGCTTCAGAAAAAAGGTCTGGCAATCTATTTCTGGGGGTGGGGGTGGAGAATTCGCTATGGTGCGCAGTTCAACTCTGACACACAAGGGGTGGGCCAGGACTTGGAATCCATTCTATGGCGACTGGATCTAATTCAAACATGTATTAAGTGCCATCGGGTCGATTCCGACCCATAGTTACCCTGTATAGGGTTTCTGGATAGCAGCTAGTGAGCTCGAACCGCCAACCTTGCAGTTCAAACGGCTTTGCAGTCTGGCGCAAAGTGTTCCCATATCCATAAGGTCGAGACTTCTTTGCAACTCCTGCGGCGGCAGGGGGAGCCCGCCTCAAGATGGCAGAGCTACTGAGGTATCTCTAACATGTCTGTTCAGGGCTGCCTTACTTCTCCTTTTCTATTCTCCGCTAAGCATGGATCTCTGAGTCCGGGTGGCCAGCAAGAGGGGACTAGGTACAATTACTTGAACGAAAAGCGCTCAAACCTGCCAGCTCTCTAGAATCAGACATTGCGATTACGCTTCTTCCGGTGGAGCCCGCTAGGATTTGCGGGTTCTGACGTCGTGCACGTCGGGAGTTGTAGTAGCACGACGGCCCAGCGGTGCTCGTGTCTGCGCAGATGCACATCCCCTCTCCTGCAACATGGCCGATTCATCTCCTCAACCAACCAAGAGAAAGCGCGAATGGGATACGGGGGAGGCGGAAGGCTCCAGAACAGAACAAAAGGAAGCAGGCGTTGGGAATGGTACCTCTGCCCCTGTCTGCTTACCCTTCTCCGGTTTTAGAGTGCAAAAAGTGCTCAGGGAGTCCGCGCGGGACAAAATCATTTTCCTACATGGGAAGGTACCTTTGGGTTACCCGGGGGTGGGATCGGCGAAGGCGTGAACCAATCGTTTCTTCCGAGTCGGTTCTGCCTCTCCTCCATCTCAGCGTAAAAGTATCAATCACGCTGCTCTAGGGAGGCGAAATGCATCCCTTGACGGCGGCGGGGACAGCGGTGGGTGGCCTAGGGGAAAAGCTATCTGAAATAAGGAAATTAATTCACCTAGATTTAGTGTTTATAAATTCTCCTTAACTAAAAATAACAAGTAACGCTTGTAAAGTTGTATAACCCATAAACCATAAATAAGGAACCTGGGCCGTTTTGCTCATTCCTTCCGGGATAATGACTTCGACTAGGAGTGAAGATCCTACTTTTCAGACCTTCAGCTTTAATAGAGGAGCCTGTTTATTAAATTGGTAATCAATTCCATGAGGCAGTAGTGATTCCGTTGTAGAATTCTTCTCACTTTACTTACGGAAGACTTCCTAATCTGATCGCCTTATGTGCAGCCACCATCCATCCGTTTGTGCAGGCCTGAGTGTTACCTTGATGCTGAACAGGTGGAGAAAATTAACACAAACCATGGAGAAAATCCTGGCAATCTGCTTCCTGAAAAAAGTCAATGAAAAAACCTTGTGGATCACAATGGTCCCATCCAAATGGGGATGGTCATAGGCTGGTGCAGCCCCAGGCAGTTTGACATCATTGTACACAGTGTGGTTGTGCATGGGGTCATCGTGGGATGGGAGCAGACTCCACAGCTGCTAACAAGGAATTCCATGGAGTTGGTGCTGGACATGTCCAGGTGAAAAATTACTGTCCCTGCTCTGCAAGAGTGTGGAATGTCTCCAGGAACACATCAGTATAAACATGTACTCAGCTCTGAAGCAGGGTCTGAAGAGAGGTCTGCATTCATTGATACAAGGAGGGCAGATAGCTGGGTTCCCCAGAACACTTAGCAGTAACTCTCTCCTTTGAAAGTGGACCCTGGGCCCAGGCTTCCATGACTGCCCCTGTGTCATTTCCTTTATATAAAGTTCAGTCTCACCAGCTGCTCTTTGGAAACCCTGTAAGACAACACTTAACAACATCTGGTTCTCTTAGCCCCCACCTGTCTCTAATCTGCAGCAGCTGCTGAATAGTTTAGCCTTCTTGTTAGGAGTTAGTTGGGAGACCCAGATCTAACTTCTGTTCCAACACTGGTCATGTGACCTTGGGCATATTACTTAATCTCCAGAGCGCTCAGTTTCTTCATCTATAAAATGGAGAGAATTTGACAGAGACCTTGTAAGCTTAAAATAAGACACCTGAAAAGCTTTGCATCTTTTGGAAGAAAAGTGTGAGCAGTGTTGGATTACCCAATAAGCAAGGTAAACACAGACTTATCTGTGCTTATTTACTAATCTATAGGGAACAGTTTTACTTTTTTTTAACCACATCAAAGATTTTGCTTCTAGGTCTGGCTGGCATCTTCTCTCTCCCAATCCCACAGCATCTTCCTACAGAAAGCCTCTTTTCAGATTTAGAATCACTGACAGGGTCGGAGTACCCAGCAAGTGCTTACTTGATAATCTGTAGTGTGGTGAACCCTTTGAAATTGCTCCCTAGAGATTAGTTAAGTACCAATACACCTGTGTTAACCTTGCTTAGTGGGTAATCCTCCCCAGGGTGTGAGAGCAGCTACAGGCTTTGGTTTATGAGATGCTTTCTCTGGGAGAAGAAACATAGTATGAGTGCTACTGGAGAAACTACAGTGTTGGTTAGTCCCCAAGGACTTCTGCCTCTCCTCCCCTGCTGCTACTGAGGATGTCTATGCCCACAGGTGAATGAGGCCTCTGGGGACAGGGATGGAGAGGATGCCGTTGTGATCTTGGAGAAGACACCATTTCAGGTGGAGCAGGTGGCCCAGCTCCTGACGGGCAGCCCTGAACTCCAGTTGCAGTTCTCCAATGATATCTACAGCACCTATCGCCTGTTTCCTCCAAGGCAACTGAGTGGTAAGCAAGTGAGAGCAGAGGTGGTTGCACGTGGGGAAAGTGGGATGGTGGGAAATCAAGTGTGTTGACCAGGATTCTCCATAACTGATTTCTATGTTCTAGTGCAATAGTTGCCAGTGAAAGGAAGGAGGAATTATACTCTCTCCCCCCACCTCCTACCCAGGGACATTTGACAATATCCAGAGACGTTTTTGGTTGTCACAACTAGGGGTGAGGCGTGCTACTTGTAAGTAGAAACCAGGGATGCTGCTAACCATCTTACAATGCACAGAACAGCACCCACCACAAGCAATGTTACCAGAACATCTGGTATAGTATGTTTGGGGGAGAGGAGATTCTTATTATTTTTCTAGCCACCATTCTAGTATTTTACATGTATTTAATCCTGAAAATAGCCCTGTGTGTTAACACTTTATAGGTGGGGAAAGTGAGGTTTTAAAAGGTTAAATTGTTGTTGTTGTTGTTAAGTGCCATCGAGTCAGTTCTGACCCATAGCGACCCTGTACAGGGTTTCCGAGGGTGTAAATCTTTACGGGAGTAGAAAGCCTCATCTTTCTCCCGCGGAGCGGCTGGTAGTTTCAAACTGCTGACCTTAAGGTTCGCAGCCCGATTCGTAACCACTACGCTACCACAGCTCCTTAGCCAGTCACAAATCACAGATACCAGTAGGTGGCAGAAAAACTAAGATCTTTCAGTGGACCAGGCACTGCAAAGATCAGTTACTTCCCAAAGGAACTCACTCTCTGGTAGGGGAGAGAAATAGTGTGATCAAGGGAAATGGATATGAGAACGGCAGGGATTCATGGCTTAAAAGAAAGAGGCTTATTTTTGGTTCTGTTTTAAAAAATTGTGGTAAATATGTAGGTAATATATATTGTTACTAATATGTGTATACAGATTTGCCATTTCAACAGTGACATTAATTACATTCATCATATTCAGCCATCGCTATTAAACATTCCCCAATTTTTCCATCACCTTTAACAGAAGCTCTTGTCCCTTAGCATTCTACCTTTCCCCCGTCACCCCCTACCCTTATTTAGCCAGTGTATGTTAAGTGCCACCAAGTCAGTTCTGACTCCTACCGACCAGTGAGCATCTGGTGGGTTTGAGCTGCCAACCTTGTGGCTCACAGACCAGGGCTGATCCTACAGCACCACACCAGTAGTCCTATTAGCCGTTGTTGTTGATGTGCCGTGGAGTCGGTTCCAACTCATAGTGACCCTGTATAGGGTTTCTAACGCTGTAAATCTTTACAGGAGCAGAAAGCCTCATCTTTCTCTCATAAAATGACTGGTAGTTTTGAACTGCTGACCTTGAGGTTAGCAGCCTGACTCATAACCATTACGCTACCAGAGTAACCAGTAATAAACCTTGCTATTTAAACACCTATTCTAGATGCTCCATATTGTTATTGTAAAGTGCCTTCGAGTTGGTGCCTACTCATAGTGACCTTGTATAGGGTTTCCAAGGAGTGGCTGGTGAATTTGAACCACTGACCTTACCATTCAGACTGACCTTGTGGTCAGTATATTATCCCACAGTGCCACACCAGGACTGAGATCATATAATATTGTTTTCTTTCGTGACTGATTTATTTGACTTAGCTTAACATTTTCAAGGTTCATCTGTGTTGTAGCATGTGTCAGAGGTGTTCTTTTTTGTTTGTTGGTTTTTAAATATATTTTTCGTTGTTAAGGATGTATACACAGCTGAACATGAATCAATGAAACATTTCTACATGTATAATTCAGAGGCATCGATTATGTTCTTCAAGTTTTGCAACCATTCTAACCCTAGTTTTTCCAACTTGTTCCTCCCTCATTAACATAAACGCTTGTCCCCTAAGTTTCCTATCTAACTTCATGAGTTAACTATTGTTAGTTTGACCTCATATAGATAGTTCTTAAAAGAAGGAAAGGGATTTAATTGCATGTTTCTTAAAGTTCATTAAGAAGATGACTATGCCATATCAAAGCCACACATGGTATATGTGTTTTTTTTCTAGTGGTTAAATTTATAGGCACCGTGGGGACTGGTTGACCTTAAAGATTACTTCCAACCAGGAAATTCTGGAATCTGTTTTGTAACACATGGTAGTATTGTAATATCCTCTTGTCTTTTTATTTGCCTTCTAGCACCAGGGTACACAGTGTGGCTTTACGGACATCCTACCACAGTTTTTTTTGGATAGATTTGAGTTTTCTGCCCCTCAGAAGAGTACAATTGTTATCCTTTGTATTTATATGTGCTCACTTGATGTGAAACAAGCAAACCTTTCACAACTGAAAGGAAAACAGCCTGGTCCTCTTTTGAAAGAGATTAATTGGTTCAAGTTGGCGGATGTGGACAACTGTGTTTACTTCCTGAGGACGTGACATTTAAACAAATGTATTCCCTCCGCACAGGGTGGGAGTAGCTTGACAAGCTGTGGTGGTCAAACATGGCTAACAGCAGCCACTAAACTGCAGGCCCTGGGGCCGCTTTCCTGCTGCCTCTCCTCTCCCTTGCCCTTCTCCAGTCCCTCTACCCATGCTCCACCCCCCACCATGGTCCAGAGGAGGGCCCTGTAGAATCTATGACCTTCCCTTTCTTTCTGTATTTTATTTCCATTTTAATGTGTTTCTGTGGCCACTGCCATCTCTTTGTATTTTTTAACATTTTGTTCCAGTATAAGAACTGAAAGAGTTAGTTTGTGACTCACCACAGTTCTTCTTCCTCATAAACACCCAAAGGTCTCCAGGCCTTCCCCTAGCACCACCACTTGGTGCTGGTGGTCTCAGCTGTTGGCACCTCTTTTTCAGGTCTCACTATCTTGGTAGCAAAAGTGTTAGCAGAGGTCTGGTGTAGCATTATACTTTTATTTTCCCTGTCCAAACTAGGCAGAGGGATTTACAGTAGTTGATAAATTCTGACCTATGGCAACTCTGTGTGTGTCAGAGTAGCATTGCACTCCATAGGGTTGTTTTTTTTAAATAAATATTTTATTGTGAATTGTGTGATAGTTTACATGGGAAAACATTAGTTTTACATTCATTCTATCATACATTGTTTCATTGCCATAGTTACCATCCATGCATCATCACCCAACCAAAGGGTATACCCTGCAAGCCTGCCCTCCCCACCCCCCCCACCCCCACAGTCCTCAGCACATAGACCCTTTCTCTCTCTTGATCTCAAATCCCCAGGCACTCCATCTCTTCTTGTCATCTTCTCTGCCTCCATCTCAGGCCTCACTACTTCTCTGGGTAGGGTCCTGCTCTCCGCTCTTTCCATTGATGGTCCTAGGGACCTCCGCTCTTAGACTGAAAAGTTAATCACTCCCTTCCTTGCTATAAAATGTCTACCTTTACATTTCCAACCCTCACAATCAGTCCTGATAACAATTATTCACTATTGCATCATAAGAGACCCTTCTGCACTTCATTTCATCAGCCTTTCCTGGACAGGCAGGATACTATACACTGGAGACTCTACCTTCCTCCACGCTGTTTGGATCTAGGTTCCCTCTTGAAAGCTTGTAAGCCAGTCACTTCTTACCTTTGTATCCCTCCCCCCATTTTGGGTAGTCAATGTTCAAGTTGCCCATCCCTATCCACTCTGTGTGGAGGGGGTGGGGATAGTTCATGGAGCCAGGATTTATTTCCTCTTTTGAGCTACTGCATTTATAGGTGTAGGTCAAGTTTATCAAATTGTATCAGATGACGCTTTTTTCCTCTTCTTTCTTCTTCAGGTTGAGCTTTGTTCATCCAGTCATTGAAGCCAGGTCAAGTAGGTATCATCTGCAAGTGTGGGTGTTCTTGCGTCTGTCTGCCCTCTTATTATCAGCTGGCTGCTTCGCTCTCCACTCTAGTCCTCTGTGGCTGTGTCATTGACTCTGAGCCCATGAGTCCCCAGGTCCTGCCTTGCTTCTGGCTGACCAGGTCTCCACCCGGGTTCACAGTAGTCGGCCGAACAATGTAGGGCTTAGCTCGCCACTTCATTGATGTTCTTTGGTCACTTCCCCTTATGGGTGATGAGCGTGGTTGCCAATCAGAGCGTGTATTTCCATTGTGTCTTAGTCATGGAAGAGGATTTGCACTGAGAGGACCCGACCACTTGCCTTGATGTCTCCTGGGCAAGCAACCTGTATGTTCTTGTGGTAACAGTCAGACTGCCCTTATTGTTTTGTATTTTTCCTGTAGATCCTTCTTTCAAGAGGTATCTTCTGGTTTTCTAGCTGCTCCAGGCAGGTCTGCTTGTCCTTTCAAGTGGAAAAGTTCCCGTCTCTGAAGATCTGGATGTGGTTCAGGCTTCCACCTATATAGTCTTATATAATGCAGAGGCTCCTCAGGAAACCTCCTTCACTGGACACATTGTAGCCCTATTTTAGGTATTCCAATCAGTTATAGGCAGAAGACAGACTTACAAGCTTTCTATGGTGATATTTCTGGCTATTCCTTTCTCTCTCCCTCCAGTGTCTGTTTTGTAATATTGTTGTTGTTGTTGTTGTTAAGTGCCATTGAGTCGGGTCCGACCCATAGCGACCCTGTACAGGGTTTCCGAGGGTGTAAATCTTTACGGGAGTAGAAAGCCTCATCTTTCTCCCGCGGAGTGACTGGTAGTTTCGAACCGCTGACCTTAAGGTTCGCAGCCCGATTCGTATAATGCACAGGAAACCAAGGTTCAAAAGACAGCCAAGTATCTTAAACATTATTCCCCCCTTTCCCCATTCCAACCATGCCTCAGTCTCTGTATCCCAGAGCCCTGTTGTTCTAAATCTGTGCCTACATCATTTTTTACCTCTGTCCCATTTAGCACATTCATACCTGTGTAATTGTTATCCCCATCTGCTCTGTTCTTCCATTCCCCTCTCCCTACTTGTATGTTGCCCCTCCTCCCCAACACCCAAACTATCCTTTGTCTATTTCCTGCCCTGTGCTCCACCTTCCCCTCCTGCCCCTAACCCTACCCCTATGCCCTAGCAACCAGCTAAGAATCCACTTTAGTGGGTTAGTATG